ACTCTCCCATTCAGTTGGTTTCAGAGCCACCCTCGTTAACTGCTTCGGCTAAAATTTGTGCCATCCTGCGCAAAGCAGATGCGTGTGACATGCATAGGCGGCTCGTTTGGTCTGACCATTCACTGTGTCCGGACCATTCACTGCTATTTTGAATTCTGCCTTGGAATCTGGCTCAGGTTGGCATGGGAAGAGGGAGAAAGCTGTAAATGTAGCGTAAGTCTACGATTGCCATAACATAATTGACGTGCAAGTCACTGGTCCTGATGGTCTAACTGTCTGAGGTTACGCGCTTAACGAAGGGTTCTTCAGCAGGCATAACCTACTAGACAGAACTGAGCGAAAAAATATAAATTAATTGCCCACGGCAGTCATTAGCGCTTAGCCTACCGCCTGCGCACCGAAGTATGCCAACAGGAAAAGGAAGTGGCTACCTTTGTTCCTTCCTATAAACGCATCGGTTAGGGAAAGCGGACTGTGTCCTTAAGTTGCCAGTGTGATCTAGGGCAGTGCAGAAACTCCTGGAAACTAGGCATTTAAGATGGCACGACACAGCAGACGCGCCTGCACTGACCGGACACGCGTTGCGACCTTGATGGCAATATTCCCATTGGTTAGCAGCACTCAGACAACTTGCAGGCATTTTATTTTACAATTTCTCCTAAAAGTATTGGATGACCTTGAGGAAATCACGTCACGCTGCGTGCCTCAAAAGAAGCACTAATAAATGGTCGGATACAAAGCTTAATGAATGGTCTTGAACATTTAAGGCTTTGAAACTTTGTGAAACCGAAAGATAGTATTTCTTCGAGTATACACTCTGAAGCCAACCTGGTTATTTATGAAATAAGTACAAGAAAGGATTTTCTTTGAGTAGCTTTTCTATAAAATATTGTCCAATTTACATAGACATCGGAAGTTACTAGAAAAATGTGTACTATTTAAGCAGTCAGTTTTGTCCGAGTGCGGTTTTTGCAGGCGAACGAGAAGAAGTAGATCAAAGGGCCGGCATCCTGAAGTGTTTGCAACGTCCAGGATTATGCGATTATTCACCTGTTTGATCAGTATACCCAGTCAAACCTCAAGCCCACTTCGAGGAGGCAGGTAATTTGAATCCGGAC